TATATTATTGTCAATGGACTGTCTTTTGTGTGTGTGTTTGTGTGTGTATGGAGTTTCTCTCTTGTCACCCAGGTGAGAGTGCAGCGGGGCAGTCTCAGCTCACTGCAACCTCTGCCTCCTGGGTTCAAGTAATTCTCCCTGCCTCAGCCTCCTGAGTAGCTGGGATTACAAGTACCTGCCATCATGCCTGGCTAATTTTTGTATTTTTAGTAGAGATGGGGTTTTGCTATGTTGGCCACGCTTGTCTCAAACTTCTGACCTCATCGCCTTGGTCTCCCAAAGTTCTGGGATTACAGCTGTGAGCCACCACGCCCAGCCTCCATGGATTGTTTTCACGGACAATCTTATCTCCACTAAGGCTGTTCATGATCTACTTTGTTGCCTTAACAAGAATCAGATTTTCTAACTATGTTGAATGCTTTTCAGTTTCTTCAGCATTCTGTTTTATGCTCTAACTCACCTACATATATTTGCATATGTTGTTTTTCCCACCTTAAATAGCTTCACCAGATTCTTAACTTGAACTCTACTAGCCTTTCAACACTCAGTTCTGGCATACATGGTCTGGGAAGATAATTTTTCCGTGCCCCACCCTCCATTTCCCTGCCAGTAATTCCCCATACCTTCACACACACACGTGTTTATGCAAACGCAAATCTTCCTCTTTGCATTAATTGACTCTTGTCCATACATCCATCACAAAACTTATCACATTCTACTTGTGTTTATTGTCCCATTTCATACTGCTACTAGAAGGTGAATTCCTTTCGGGTATACTGCATCTTCCATCATTATACCACTGTATTTTTCTTTTCTTCTTCTTTTAAATTTTTTTGAGACAAGGTCTTACTGTCACCCAGGCTGGAGTGCAGTGGCACAATCTCGGCTTACTGCAGCCTCAACCTCCAGGTTCAAGCAATCCTCCTGCCTTAGCCTCCCAAGTAGCTGGGACTATAGGTGCACAACACCACACCTGGCTAATTTTTAAAAATTTTTATTAAAGAAGAGTTCTCACTTTGTTGCCCAGGCTGATGTTGATCTCCTGGCCTCAAGTGATCCTCCCACCTTGGCTTTCCAATGTGCTGGGATTACAGGCATGAGCCACCCTGACCGGCCCTGTGTTTTTCAAAGTGCCTAGTACATAAATTTATTTCATTTAAGAGTTGGTCCATGAGGCGGGGTGTGGTGACTCACACCTGTAATCCCAGCACTTTGGGAGGCCGAGGTGGGCTGATCACAAGGTCAAGAGATCAAGACCATCCTGGCCAACATGGTGACACCTCGTCTCTACTAAAAATACAAAAATTAGCTGGGCATGGTGACGTGTGTCTGTAGTCCCAGCTACTTGGGAGGCTGAGGCAGGAGAATCGCTTGAACCCAGTATGCAGAGGTTACCTTGAGCTGAGATTACACCACTGCACTCTAGCCTGGTAACAGAGCGTGACTCCGTCTCAAAAAAATGTTCAATGAATAATATTTAGATAATAGAGAAATCAGTGTTAGTTGGAGTGGTAGATTAGGCACCTGGGACAGCTGGATGTTAAAGTGGATTTTGAAAGAGGAGTAGTGCATGGATCAGCATTTCAGGAGGAAGAGCATGAACAAAGGCATAGGGGTAGGATGGGAGAAGAAAGGCAAATGACATCAAGAGAACAGCAGGTAGGGAGTGGTTGAACATCCTGAAGAGATCAAGTGCATTAGAAAAAGCCTGAAGGCTAGGTTGGAGAATTTAGGCTTGATTCAATAGGCAACAGAGGTTCATAATTTGAAGATTTCAATTATCTGACAGTGAAATAAATGCACTGATGGAAAACCTAGAGTTATGTGTAACAATAGTAGGACTTTAAGAAAAGGTGAAAAATTAAAGAGAGTTATAAGGCAGAAAAACAATAAATGTAATTTGTTAGTGTCCTTATTTGGAAAATACATATATGTATATAATAATAAAATAATATTACATGTACTCAGTGTACAAAGACTATAATATATTTACAATGGACCTATTTTCCTGGAAGCTAATTAACTATTTTTAATTTTCGCTTCCTGAGACCTCTACCAATTCTTCCGTAACTGCCCAGACATTCAAGTTGTTACTTGTTTGTATATACCACTATATCTCTACATTGCTTTCAAGAATTTTTGCCAGATCTATGTCTTTGATAAGATTGTAAAAAAAAAAAAAAAACCAGGTAAATACATGTTACTTTTCTTTAACATGAAGTTCAGTTGATTGAAAAGTACTCACTCTAAGCATAAGCACAACTGAATACATATTAAAAACTGGTAAAAGAACATAGTTTTAAAGTAATTGATAATTACGTAACATTTTATTATAAACCAAAGTGATTTTTTTCAATGTTAGTAGCTATTTATACTTTATAGAGCAAATCTGATTTGAGAATTAAATTTTTTTCCTAATTTGAAGATAAATGTTATTTAAAGATTATAAAATATCTAAATATTTTTGAATACACATACATGCACATATATATGTACAATTAAGAATATGCATATGTATTACTTTCATGAAACATGATGGCTAAATGAAAGTAGAGTTAATTCATGAGCAGGGAAGTACCCGGTCTCCCAGCCTTGTTTCAGCCATCCATTCCCTTGAGAAGGCAAATTTTGTTCAGACACAAAAGAAAAATGTACTATTAAAATGCAATTCAGAAGTGATAAAAACTGGAAGTGCAGCAGCCGGCTCACAGCACCTCCTTTGTATACTCAGGGACATTGGGGCCACATTAATTTTTTTGTGTGTGATGTCCATCCCATGTGCAAATTAGCACTGGAAGGACCATAATCTATCTTATATGAGAGCTCTTTTCCCAAGTGCTTATGTAATACATGCTTCTGTAACTTTGTATAATTCAAAGTTCTGTATTCTGTTTATTTTTTATTTTAAATAGTGTTAGAAAATACTTTCTTTGGAAAATATTAAGAATTTTAAAATAAATATTAAAAAGAAATTGCAGAGAAGTGTTAAAATTGATGAAAGAATGCTACTTTTTCTAAGTTTATTAAATGACAAAAATAATAATTTTCAGTTGAATTTAGATTTTTAAAAACACCTTTCTTTATCTTAACTGAATGAGATCATCTATATGAAAATTTGGCATATAGTAATGGCTCAATAAATATATGTTGAACCTCAACTTTTTTTTAAAGTCTGAATTTCAGAATATTTTTCTTAGGAGAATATTTTATTTTGCTATATATAGTTTCTATTTCCCAGAGCTTCCACTTTTCTCTAAATGTTTCTTTTATTTAAAAGCCTTCCAACTTTTATTTCATTAATACCATGTCTCCTTTGATTATATGTGTTAAAAATTTCTGAATTTACTCCTTTTTGCTGCATCATGATGTCTGTTTCCTCTAGCTTATTCCTTATGTTTGGATTTGTGTCCTTCTTCCACATTGATTATTTTCCCACTAGTAAACCATTCTTAAGTTTATATTAAAAGGGAAAATGTAAAAATTAGATTAGAAACTCTAAGGGTGTAAAAGAGTGACTTTTTGATAGATTTTATTATACTCTGATACACCCTTTTAATTAAAACATCCCCAAATTGTTGATATTTGAACTTGTTTCTCTAAGAACTGTCACGTCTTTTCAGAAGATGCAATCAGTCTTCTGAAGGATATAAGTCCAAGCTGCCAGTGCACTTAAGAGACGAGCAAGGAAAGAGTTCAATGGCCAGTCTTTGGATTAAAATCTACATATTCCATTTGATGCCTCCCCTTAGCCTTCCTCAGTACCTGCTTTCCTTGAGACTAGAGCTTTTTGGTGTAAATTTTTTCTGAGAATAGGCTTTTATGGATACATGGACTGGGACATGGACCTGGGGATTTCATTGCTTCTTACATAAGCTTTCAGCTGTTTTCAGCTTCATTCCTTCTCTCACTTTCTGGAATAATTGTAGATTTATTTCCCGAGCTTTTCCCTGGTTCTGCAGGACAAATTGCCCTGCTTCTCTTTGACATCTCATTCTTCTGGCACCTAGATTTCAGTTTTCTTGACTCTTTTGTGTCATTTATGAATTTTCTATCTTCCTTCCACCTGCTAAAAATTAATTGGTATTTTCAATTGCTCTTTCTTATTTTCTGTCCTATTTCTTCTTATAGGTTTATAACTTTAAAAAAAATTATTTACTCTTATTTCAGTGTGTTTTGGTGAGGGATCTGGGTTACACTGAAAACATATCACCATCTTAGATGTTCTGTGAGAGTTTATATGGGTTTTAAAAGTTTGGTCTTTTCTGTTGATCATAAAAATACGTAAAGTAATAATGATGATAATGATAATGGTTGCTGCAACAAGTTCTTTCAATTTTTACATCTGCTTTTAGCACCGACATTATTTATTGGACACAATCTTTTCAGCCTCCATGTTAAATACCTTACATAAATTAAGTTGTTCATTCATTGTGATAACCCTATATGGAAGTCAAGGCTCATTCAGGTAACTTGCATAGGGTAATACAGCTAGCAAAGCAATGCTAAGGTGTGGTTACAGGTCTGGGTGACTTGAAGGCCCCATTATTCGTAACTGCTACTGCTACCAATAATGCCACCATTATTCAAGTGACTTAAAATTGAAGAAAGCCTACTTCAGTGAAAATTGACTGTACTGACTATCCTTTTGATTTAGGGATACTATTTTAAAATTAAGAACATTTTCATTTATGTGATGAATTTTGAGTTTTTTGGCATAATTAATTCATAAGTGTATTATTTAGCATTATCTCTATAGAAAATACTTGAGACTCACAAAAATTCTGTGAAGAACATTTTAGTATCTCCATTTGCAGAATAGAAAATAAATATTAATAGAAGTAATTAACACAGGTAATCAATGGCAGAGGTTGAAATGGAATCTAGGTATTCTGATTCTAAATCATGTATTATTTTCACTGTACTATAGTACTTCTCCTTATTTTAAAAATCAAGTGTCTCTAAAAATCAAGTTAAGAATAGCTCCTAAATATTTCTTTCAGGTTTTTGCCATTTTCTTCATACCATAAAAATGAAAAGTACATCCCATCAATGCATTTATCAAGCAAATATTGTCCTATTTCTCACAAAGAACAATTCCGAAGTGAAAATCCTAAGAAATGGATCTGTGACAAGGTGAGTTAACAAAACATTTTAAAAAGTTATTCCTTTTTAAAAGCTAGAAATATACATTAATTAGAGCAAGTATAAATATTCTTATTACAATTAAGACCTTTATGGTAACAAAATTATTTATAGACAGCTGTTTTAGGTACAGATGGTGCTGCTGACCTATGTAAGATTTTTTTTTTCAGTATTGTATTCTTAAGTTTTATGACTTAGCTATAACTTAGCTGCCCGAGGGTCAAAGGCATGGATCACTGGCATTGGCATATGACCAGGGTGAGGGCTTGAGTATGAGGTCACAGAATGGAGTTAAGCTAATTCTCAGGCATGGAGATCAGGGCTTGTTTGCTCTCTCTCAATCTATGTATGTATGTTTATAGATAGCTAAATAAAGAAGGGGGGAGAGAAGACATGCATTATATAAAACATGATGTATAATATACATTTAACATGCATATATGTATATGTGCAACTCCTGAGTGTCATATGCACTTTCATAACAGGTACAGCACGTATATGTGGCACTTGTGTGATATATTAGTCTGTACTCAGGCTGCCACAACAAAGTACCATAGACTGTGTAGCTTCAACCACAGACATTTATTTTCTTACAATTCTGGAGGCTGGAAGTCTGAGTAAACTGCCAACATAGTTTCTGGTGAGGCCTTTCTTCCTGGCTTGTAGGCAGCTACCATCTGCCTGTTTGCTCATATAACCTCTTCTTTCTGGGCAGAGAGAGGGCAGGCTCTCTGTGTCTCTCCCTGTAAGGGCACTAATCCCAAGAGACCAGGACCCTCCCTTCATGACCTTATTTAACCTTAATCACCTCCTTACAGGTTCTGTTTCTAATACAGTCACATTACAGGTTAGAGATTCAACATGAATTCTGGGGAAACAGAATTCATTTCATAGCCTTCCATTCCTGGCCCCCAAAACTCATGCACTCTTGAATGCAAATACATTCTTTCCATCTCAAAAGCCACAAGAATCTTAATATATTTAGTACTCGCTCTAAACTCTGAAGTCATATCTAAATCATAGGAACATGACAAGGATGCCCACTTTTTTTTCTTTTTTTTTTTTCTTTTTTGAGATGAAGTCTCGCTCTGTCACCCAGGCTGGAGTGCAATGGTGCAATCTTGACTCACTACAACCTCCGCCCCCCGGATTCAAGCAATTCTCCTGCCTCAGCCTCCCAAGTAGCTGAAACTACAGGCACGTGCCACCACCCCTGGCTAATTTTTTTGTATTTTTAATAGAGACGGGGTTTCACCATATTAGCCATGATGGTCTCCTTCCCCTGACCTTGTGATCTACCGGCCTCATCCTCCCAAAGTTCTGGGATTACAGGCATGAGCCACCGTACCCGGCCTCAAGGATGCCCAGTCTTACAACTACTATTCAGTAGAGTACTAGAAGTCCTAGCCAGAGCAATTAGGCAAGAGAAAGAAAGAAAAGGCATCCACACTGGAAAGGAAGATGTAAAATTGTCTGTTTGCAGATGACGTGATCTTAAATATTAAAAACCCTAAATACTCCACACCGAAGTCTATTAGAACTAATAAACAAATGCAATAAGGTTTCAGGATACAAAATTAACATACAAATATTAGTAGCATTTCCATACACTAACAATGAACTGTCCCAAAAAGAAATCAAGATAGTAACCCCATATAGGAATAACTAAAGAAGTAAAAGATCTGTACATTGAAAACTATAAAATACTGATGACATAAATTAAAGAAGACACAAATAAATGGAAAGGTATTCTGTGTTCATGAACTGGAAGAATTTAATATTGTTAAAATGTCCATCTAAACAAAGTGATCTATTGAGTCAATGCAATCCCTATCAAAATCCCAATGTCATTTTTCACAGAAACAGAAAAAATAATCCTTGACCAGGCTGGGTGGCTCATGCCTGTAATCCCAGCACTTTGGGAGGCCAAGGTGGGCAGATCACTTGAGATCAGGAGTTCGAGACCAGCATGGCCAACATGGTGAAACCCTGCCTCTACTAATAATACAAAATGTAGCCAGGTGTGGTGGTGCCACAGCACTCCAGCCTGGGTGAAAAAGTAAGACTCTGTCTCAAAAGAGAAAAAACAAAAAAGAAGAAGAAAAGGAAAAACAATCCTAAAATTCCTGAACCACAAAAGACCCTGAACAGCCAAAGCAGTCTTGACCAAAAAGACTAAAGATGTAAGGATCACACTACCTGATTTCAAATTATATTACAAAGTCATAGTAATCAATACAACATGTTCCTGGGATAAAAAATAGAATAGGATACAGAACCCAGAAATAAATGCACACATTTATGCCCAATTGATCTTTGACAAAGGTGCCAAATACACACAATGGGGACAGGATGGTCTCTTCAACAAACGGTGATGAGAAAACTGTATATCCACATGCAGAAGAATGAAAGTGAATCCTTATCTCACACTATATGCAAATACCAACTAAAACTAGATTAAGACCTGAAACTGTAAAACTACTAGAAGGAAATATAGGAAAAAAGCTTCTTGACATTGGTCTAAGCAATTATTTTTTGGATATGACCCCAAAAGTATAGGCAACAAAAGCAAAAATAGACAAATAGAATTGAATCAAACCAAAAAGCTTTGCACAGCAAAGGAAATGATCAACAGCGTAAGGAGACAAACTATGAAATAGGAAAAAAATATTTGCAAACCATACAAATTGATAGAGTTAATATCTGAAATATATAAGGAACTCATACAGCTCAATAGCAAGAAAACAAATAACCTCTTTTAAAAATGGGCAAAAGAATGGAATAGACATTTCTCAAAAGAAGACATACAAATGGCCAACAAGTATATGAGAAGATGCTCAGCATCACTAATCATCAGGGAAATGCAAACAGAAACCACAATGAGATATAACTTTACACGTTAGAATGGCTATTTCCAAAAAGACAAAAGGTAACATATTGGCAAGGATGTGGAGAAAATGGAATGCTTGTCCACTATTGGTGGGAATACAGATTAGTACAGTCATTATGGAAAATGGTGGTTCTTCAAAAAATTAAAAATAGAACTACTGTACAATCCAGCAATCCTATTCCTGGGTATAGATTCAAAGGAAGTGAAATCAGTATATTGAAGAGATATCTGCAGCCCCATGTTTACTGCAGCATTTTCAAAATCACCAAGATATGGGATCAAATTATTCATTGAAGGATAAATGGATAAAGAAAATGCGCTAGATATACACATTGGAATACTATTCAGCTTTTAAAAAGAAGGACATTCTGTCATTTGTGATAACATGGATGAACCTGGAGGACCTTACACTAAATGAAATGTTAGGCACAGAAAGACAAATACTGCATGATCTCATTTATATGTGAAAACTGAAAAAAATCAAACTCAGAAGTACATAGTGGAATTGTGGTTACTAGGGACTTGAGGCAGGAGGTAGGGGTGAGAAATGAGAAGGAGATGATTTTCAGAAGGTACAAAGTTTCAATTAGGATGAATAGTTCTGGAGATCTATTATACAGCATGGTGACTAAACTTAATAATGTATTGTATACTTGAAAATGACTCAGAGCATAGATCTTAAATGTTCTTATCACAAAATAGAAATAACTGTGCTAAATGTTATGCATATGTTAATTAGCATGATTGTGGTAATCATTTCACAATGCATATGTATATCAGAACATTATGTTGTACACTGTAAATATATACAATTTTTACAAATGGTCAACAAGTATATGAGAAGATATTCTACATTACTAATCATCAGGAAAATGTAAATAGAAACCACAATGGCATGTAACCTCACACATGTTAGAATGGCTATTAACAAAAAGACAAAAGATAACATGTATTGGCAAGGATATGCTGTGTTCATGAACTGGAAGAATTTAATGTTGTTAAAATGTCCATACAACCAAAGTAATCTGTTGAATCACTGCAGGTGTATTTAATTTGTTAGAATAGACATTCTAACAAATTAAATTTGTTATTTAATTTGTCAATTATACCTCAGTAAAGCTGTGGGAAAACAAACAAAGAACTACCAAGAAATACCATATAATCAGATACGGGTGAAACTTGCCTCATCCTCAGGTAAACTTCCTCTCTAGCTGTGAACCTGTGAAACCAGTCAAGTTATGTGCTTCCAAAATGCAATAAGAAGACACGCAAAGGGGAGATATTTCTACGCCAAAAGGGGAAAATTGGAAGAAAGGAATGGATGATGTGTCTCAGAGAAGTGTAAAACCTAACAATGCAAATTCTATTTGATGTTAAGACTTGAAAACAATACTTTTTGGTTCAATATTTTGCTCTCCAGTTCCTCTGGGATGGCAGGGTCACCCTGATGACTCTGTGGGTGGGGCAGAGTCTCTCTGCAAGGGCCCTGCCCACAAGGCTCCCTGTAAAAGTGGGTCCTGCCGTAGAGGCACTGAACAGGGTCATCCTGCCCCATGGAATCTGGAGAGGTAGCCCCACTCTTTGAAACCTAGAAGGAAACAGTCCTGCTCCCTGGGCCTCTTGTAGGAGTAGCAGCCCCAGTGATCTCTGAATCCCCTTAGGGGTCATTCTTCCCTTTGCTTGAATAGTGGTCCAGTCCTTGTAGAATTCAAGTGGTCCCACAATCTGCCTTAATTCTTTTCTGCTTTCTCTGCACCATTTACTTCAAACTCTTGGTGTCTTAGCTGGTGTAATCTCATCTCTGTTCCTGGTTTCTGTCAATAGAGCTGATGAAGTCCTTGAGTCCCAATATCTCTTTATCTGTTTATTAGTCAAGAATTTTTTTCTAGGCACTGGAAATATAAGATATTGTTTCTGCCATGTTATGTGTTTCCTTAGCAATGTGTTCCTACTCTAGCTCAAAACCCAGCACTCACAGACTGTTGTATGACATCATTTAAACTTAATCACCTTGTTAAAAGCTCTGTTTCCAATATATAGTCACATTGAGAGTTAGGCTTCAACACATGAGTGGGGGGGGGGGGGGGGGCTACAAAATTCA